GACTTCACATACTTCAGAAGGTCTCAAAATGAGACCTATAAGTTATTGAAATCTAGGAAGATGGTGGGGGGGCAATCTCTATTTTAACTTTGACCACAGGTGAGAGTAGGAATAGTAAATCTACCTTTGAAAAGTCTATTTTCAGCAACACTAAAACAGCTTCCACCTTATGTTATCTTCCATTTCATGGGCTGCCTGCATTCACCTGTGTTACTGAAGGGCTTCCCAGCAAAAGAGGAGGAATTGGAAATTGGAAGAACTAACAAGACTGAAGAAATACTTGATATTATCTTCAAACCTATACAAGACTCACTAATTAGTGTCCTAATTTAATAAGCAGCTGCAAAAAAAACAACACAAACCCACAACCCCCTTCTCTTTCTAGCCATGGATTCCCTTCAAAATACGTGTCCTTAACACTTATATTTCCATATGCCTTATTGCTCTGGTTTTGGTAGAGTTAATTTTCTTCACAGTAGCTGGCATGGGGCTATGTTTTGGATTTGTAGTGAGAACAGTGTTGATAACACAGGGATGTTTCAGTTGTTGCTGAGCAGGGCTTGCACAGTGTTAGGGCCTTTTCTGCTTCTCACCCCACCCCACCAGTGAGCAGGCTGGGACTGCACAAGGAATTGGGACGGGACACAGCTGGGACAGCTGACCCCAACTGACCAGAGGGATGTCCCACACTGTATGACATCATGCTCAGCGTATAATGCTGGGGGAGAAGGCAGGGGGGACATTTGGAGTGATGGCATTTGTTGTCCCAAGTCACCATTACATGCATGATGGAGCCCTGCTGTCCTGGAGATGATTGAACTGCCTGCTGATGGGGAGTGGTGAATGAATTCCTGGTTTTGTTTTACCCATTAAACTGTCTTTATCTCAACCCACAAGTTTTCCCAGTTTTACCCTTCTGATTCTCTCCTTCATCCTACTCAGGGGGAGTGAGTGGGTGGCTGTGTGGGGCTTAGTTGCTGGCTGGGGTTAAACCACGACACTTATGCATCTTTTCCTTTTTTGAAATTGAGGTCTGGACCCAAATTTCCCAATGCTTTAATGCAACATGTCCTAATTCAGAAGCAAAAAATCTGAACCTATGAAATCATATCATGCATGCTTTACTTCAAACAGCAGGAAAATACATTCTCTCAACTTGCTACTAACAGCAATGAACCTGATAAAGGACCCTGATGCTGAGTGTAGGGAGACAATATTTATCTAGCACCCAAAACAGCAACCTGTTTTAATTCATACATTCAATATGGAAAAAATATTGTCTTTGTTATAGCCTATCAGCTTATGAATCAGTCTTATTGTCCATAAAGAGAAGCACTTTCTCAAGCGAGAACAGGGAGTGAAATGGAGGATGAATAGACTAACTGAAAGCCCTTCCCTTTCATAAGGGCCAGCATCCTCCATTGCTCAGCAGCAGAGCATCCACCTCATGGGAGCCAAAATTACATGTCTTTGACCTCTGCTGTGCCCTGTGGAGCAGCTCAAGAAGGTTTTGAAACAGAAGAAATCTGTTTTAGGAAAATAAAAACATCAAAAGTTTGAGCAAGAGTTGTATGGTTCATTGGTGATAACAGAGCCTAAGCCCTGACACCTCCCCAAACACATACTGTCACATGTTCATGACAGGTTGCAGGATGAGGTGGTCTGATGACACAGGGCTGTTTGGGTAGGTGGGAGAAAACGCAAGGAATGCATGTTCTTTTGGCTTGAAAAAGGTCACTGCAGTGCTCGGCAGGTTGAAGAATGATTCACAGCAGAAAGGGATGAGCAGGAGGTAAAGAGTGAGGTCCTCTTAGACCACCAAGGCCATTTGGATTTTATGCCAATCTCTGATTTTAGGTGGAGTATAAATGCATATAGGGAATAAATTTTTGCTGCAAGTCATAGTGCAGTATGCCCTTACTCTGTTCTGTATGGATTATCTGGAACATAATGAGAAAAAGAAACAAACAAATCAGGAAACAGCCCAGGAGGTGGAATGGGCAGGGACGAGGCAATGAGAGGGAGTTCGATGTAGGGAACTATCACATTTTTTTCCAGCACCTCTTACTTGAGAACACCAAATAATTTACAGGCATCAGGCTAGACAGTATCTTTGTCAAGGAGACATGCAATAACGCTTGCACTTTACTGAAAGAAAAGGTGACCAAGATTAAAGCACCTCTCTATGTCACTTTATTTCATACTAAAAATGGAACTTATTCCAGCCTTGATAGCTTCAGCCAGGCAAATTCATTATGTTTTGGTTTCTAACCTTCATGTGAAGTCATAGCGTTTTTCCTACCTTTATAAATACCATTCCAGCCACCTAGCTGGTCAGATCCATCCTGAGCCTCCAAGTGTCCTCCATGATCAGAGGCAAAGTATGTGAATGTATGATTTTTCAAACCTTCTTTGTCAAGCGAATCCATAATTTTGCCTTAAAATTAATAAGACAGACAGCAAGG